GATTCAGTTACCTTACCAAAGACTATGCAGCGATTAAACTCCGCACACCGTATACGACTTTTGCCGCGCATTCGCAGGGCTGAGCCTAAACTGTTCGGTTTTCAATTTAAAGAATCTAAGAGCAGGCTACCTTATGTCGCAGGACTCGCGTCAGTTTATTTTGAAGGAATGAGTAAGATTATTAATGCATGATTTTTACCTACGTTATTGACCCCATTTCTTTTTAGCTTCCCGAAAGTATTCAAATGGTCCAGGGACTGGCTGGAAAATCGAAAATGAAGGCCTTCAAAATGCTATTAATTCAAAATTTTTTCATTTTATTGGTAATTGGTGCAATGCTGCTACTTTCATTCTATGCCCACAAAATCAAGAATGCGGATTGGTGAAAGAAACGATTGTTGATCCTTGGTGATATATAATCCTCACGTTAAGGCGTGCAAACACATGTTGTCATATTCAATTACAAATATATAATTGCAATAATATACTGGGACGCACGTGGCAGTCGTAGTGGAAATAGCCACACAGCACTTCTATATGTAGTTTAGCTGTTGAAAAAAATAGCCACACAGCACACTAAAAAGACATTCAAGTATATAGGCTACATAATACAAAATGGTTCACTAAAATATCTACCGCTTAATTCAACACTTTTGTAAAACATACTTCAAATACAAAAGAGATTAATCGATCTCATTTTTATTTATTTATTTAATATTTACAGACGATTACGCAGGGCGCGGTTTTTTAATTCACTCGTGCCGGAAGCTCATCATGATACAAGTGCTCGACTAAGTAGTAAGGGAATTAGTTTTTGGCGACGGAAAAAACGGAGGTCCGGGAGAAAAACGCTCAAAGTACAGGAGAGAATCAACCAACAAACAAACAACAATGAGTTTTCACTAAACACAGGAAGGTTGGCCAACCTACCGTCAGGGGAACGGCCATGTTGCCCCTGATCTATGTACGATGTAGGTCCTCCCCCCATATTTTCATTTCTACTCAGGCGTGCTTTTAGGCAAGGCAAGCAATTACAGTATATAGTTTTAGAATCAGGTTTCACACACTGCATATCAAGCGCAAAACAGAAAGCATCAGACTCTCTTTAGTTGCTTTAAGATCGACAGGTTTAACAATGACTTATCATTTTAGACGTTTTACAGCACATACCACAATCATATGGTTAGTTCGTGTGTCATCTTCTTCTCTTCGAGAAGAGTGTATGAATTGGGAAAATATTATTTTATCAACTCGAAAAGGTCATAAAACAGATGAGAGTAGTTCAACCCCCCCCCCCCGTGACGTCATAGGGTGTGGGCGTACAGTACGTACAGTATGACAGCTCGATCTCTTCCGAAAATTAAGGCTATGTCTTAATTGTAAAAAGCGTTCAAAATAAGACATTGCCTTAATTTTAAACCTAGCCCCCACCCTACCCCACCCTACCCCACCCTAACCCCTAATCTTAGTCTCACCCTAATCCAATCCAAATCTGGCGACCTTTTTTTGCTAGGGCCATTACTTTTAAAGCAAGAAGTCTTGCCTAATGATTGTGGTATTGTTAAATTAAGGCTATGCCTTAATTTTGGAGAATTTCAAATTTATAAGCCATATCCTTAATTTTCAAAAGTTTTACAATTAAGACATAGCCTTAATTTTGAGAAGAGATCATGTTGAGTATGAACGATACGTACAGTATGAACATTCTATTTTTATCTGACGTCATATAGTGTACCTACAGTACGTACAATTTTTTCAGTGTACGTCATACAATGGTGGTACGTACAATTTTTTATTTGACACGGTGTACGTACATTACGTGCAATGTTTTAGAAAAAAAATCCTCTGAGACGGATTCGATCCGTCGACCTAGGGATAAATAAATAAATAAATACTGATTAGTTTAATAAAACCGCTTTGCAGAAAAACTGAATTATACGGTATTGTATGACTTAGAAATCCTATATTCCTAAAATATTTACAACAACGATAAAAGGTATTTAACAGTTACATAATTTTTAAAACGTTCAGTCTTTACTATTAATCGCTCTGTTCTTAAATTATAGTTATGATCCAAGTCTGACGGACGGTTACATACTATATTTGAGACGGTGGATTACAACCAGAGTCCTATATAAGATAACTTCAATTTATCAATAAATGTTTTACTAAGGGACCATTCATTATTTATGACTGGGGGTGGGCTGGCAAAAAAAGGGGGTGGGTCATGAGGTATTTTTGAGCGAAAAAGGGGGGGAATCTAAAAATATTGGTTCAGAAGGGGGGGGTCCAGTTGTTTATTATAGTAGTATTAAGTGGAGAAAAATTTGACATGTAACGATTATTGCTACCACAGGGAGCAAACAAGGCAGCAAATTTAATTCATGTATAGCTAGCAAAATTCTCAATTTTAATCGACAGACAGACCCAAAGTGCAATGCACAAATACCCAAAATGCCATGCGCGCAGCCAATATGAAAAATAATCGAACATCTACCTTATAACTTTTCCCATGAACTTGCAATAAATTTTTGTCATATTTCAATTATGCATGTACATTTTAATAAAAAAGATAATTAACGAGTAAGCGATGTAGCAACATTACGTCCAGGGAAAGTTTGGCATATACTATATACACTAGTAATTATAATATCATAGTTAACTCGGTTTCTTTTGTTTCAACAGGGACGTTTAATCACGTATTTCCCTCATTACCATGCTTCTTTGTCTTCTAATTTTCCCCTGCATTCTTGATGAGGGAAATGATTGGAGAGCTGTACCTCATCAAAAATCATCGGCACAACTATAGACAGTATCTGACGACACAGTCCCGTACACATTCGCACAATCACTTTGCCAGTTTTTATTCCCTAATCTTGAACATTTCCAACCAATTGTGGGAGAAAATTTCGTTTATGCGCATGCCTAAAACGCCAATGAATGCGGAGATGTGTTTCTGCGCGTGCGTATATATGAAAAGTGTTCGTACCACAATCATAAGACAATCAAACAGCATTAAAAACAGGCAACACACCACGCGCGACATGAAATGTCCCTCAAGCCTCGAGAGGTTTACTAAACCTCTCTCGGCTTTCGGGTACATTTAATCACTAATCGCCCTGAATGCCATGCTATTACTTATAATTATACTAGGTATTTTATACATGGTTTTATTTAGTAAGGAGTCAAATCCGAGCCTGAGTCAAATGTCCGAGTCACTAGCTGTTTAGCGGTCTTTGTAGTTCATTGACGTAGTACCCTAACCCTACTCCTAACCCAGGGCTGTAGCACCCCCAATAATTTGCTAGCTAATAATCATTCTTTTCCCAAAATCATGCAGACCTTTATCATTTAAATAATATGCTTTTAAAATATACTGACAAATGATTAATTTAGGCAGCTACATTATCCATGACAAACTGCAAAGAATGACGATATTTCTCATACTTTCCTGCACCTTATCTAATATATAGTTAATTAAATACGCCTTCGCCCATTTAGTGCTACTAAATTGTAAATTTCGACATACTAAAATGCTGTTTTCTGATCATCAGCATTCTGTCAAATCTTCTCCAAAGTCCAGGAAATAGCATTTCAGAGACTCTAAATTTAAAAATTTCCTCTGGCCTTTGGCCCTCCCTTTCAGCTCCCCAATCAAAAAGAGCTTCCTACAGCAGTGTAACTCTAACCCTACTCCTAACCCTATACTCCTAACCGATTTCACTCGTCAAAGGGGAAGCTCTGCTAGGCATGTCCCGATTGTGCTCGGCAACTTTTGAACAACTTTTTTCGTTTGCAGCAGCTTTTTTCGACTTGAGCAAATTGAAGCAACTTTTTCCTTTTTGAGCAACTTTTTACTACACTCTTAGCAGCGAAAAATGGTATGACCCCCAGCTTTAGCCTCTTCGGTGCTCTGCAGCTTAACCAGTGCACTCTACTTATTTTTTTACGTGTTTAACGCCAAAAGATTTCACTCCTCAACAGGAAACTCTGCAGCTTAATGGGTTAAATAGGCATGCATATTTAATGTTGATAGCACAAGTAAATAAAAGATGATGCCTTTCACAACAAGTTTAAAGAGCTCATTTCTATACAGTACCGTACATTTATTATATTGTCACTGGTGGTGGTGGTGGGGGGGGGGGGTTACTATTGTTTAGAATTCATGTGAAGGGGGTCATTGAATTTTTTGTGATGGAGGGGGTGGGGCAGCACATTTTGTTTAGTTGTTAATTGAATTTTGCCAGCCCACCCCCGGTCATAAATAATAAATGGTCCCTAAGCTTGATTCTGCGTGCTTCTATGGTATCTAGGCCAGAGCAGGTTAAAGCACTTCCATAGGAAAGGGAAGGGTAAATAATCTTCAGTGTTCGTCTTTGTATTGATTCGATTACATTTGACTGACCAGCAGTGAGATTAGACCACGCTGGAGCAGCATATTCAACAGGAGATCGTAAGATTGAACAGTAAATAGAAACCAAATCACGCTGTATAACACCGGTGTCACAGGAGATTCGCCCCCCCAGGAGATTCGCCCCCCCTCTCAAAAGGGGGGCGATATTCCTAGGATATTCGCCCCCCCGGGGCGAATCTCCTAGGAATATCGCCCCCCAGGGGGGCGAATCTCCTAGGAATATCGCCCCCCTTTAGGAATTTCGCCCCCCCATATAAATTTTGAATTTTTGATCTAAAAACAAAACGATTGCAAGTTGAAAAGATTTATTGTGTGATTTATTTATTTATTACAAGGAGACAAAATTATATACACCTTTTAGGCTTCTTAGTAACTGGTGGTGTGCACAGTCTGCATAACCACTCATTTGAGGTACTTAGATAACTAGTGTCATATTCTACACATCTAAAGTGGAACCATCACAGAGATCGCATAAAATCATGTTGTCGTATTCTTCTGGCAGTTTACATTCACATAACATATTATAAAAACAATCGCTTGCAAATTTTATCAATACGAGTGTTAACAATAGCCGCCACAGTAATCACTTGCTAACAATAAACTATAGGATTAGTTAAAAATCTATGGAATGTGTTGGGAAGCGTATTGATTATTGTCCGTTGAATCGTCAACTTTCCGTGTCAGTGATGTAATCTTGATTCTTCACTTTCGCAAAGAAAATTGCATTATATATGTGGTGTGGTTTATTCAAATAATTTCATGATACTTTGATTTTATTGGTGCATGCCTTAAACATTTGAGAATTAACTCTGCTAAACTAAAAGCTTTCTTGTCTTTTTTGAAACGTATATTATTGGATTATTGCCTATTGGCAAGTTCTACCCTTCGCTTCTGAGATTTACAAACTATATTGAAATAATGCAAGTAAAAAATAGTGACAAACCATACATTTTCCGATAACGACAAAACGTGGATGCAAAACAATACCAATAATTACAATAACCACCACGGTGATTACTTTTTAACAATGAGTTTAAGGATTAACACTGAAAATGCAAAATATGCATGGTGTGCTGTGAAGCGTCATAAGTCCTATTGATCTACTGTATTAAACTGTGTAAGCCCTTCGATACATGTAATTGTAAATTTGAAAATCCTAAAGAAAAGGTGAAGTTTCTAAAGGGGGGCGAATTTCCTAAAGGGGGGCGAAATTCCTAGGATTTTCGCCCCCCTGGGGGGGCGATATTCCTAGGAAATTCGCCCCCCGGGGGGCGAAAATGTAGGGGGGGCGAAAATCCTGGGACACCGGCTCTATTTAATTGTCGCAGGGCATATATATAATCTAGAATTTCGTAATAATTTCCGCATGAGGACTCGCTTTCTTCGTAATAAATTAAATCCACATGAGGACTCCATGAAAGGTCACGAGACAAAGTTTGGCCAAGCAATTTAAATGAAGGAACGGATTCAACTGGAAGACCGGCCACGTAAATCGGTTATATAATAGAGGTAGGATATCATTCGTAATACTCTACAGTCCGTCGCTCTACCAACAGAGCTATCAGAGGTGTACGTTTTACATAGGCTTTGAGAAGAGTTATTTTGGTTTGGGGGATACATATTACAGGGTGTATCAAAAAAATGTACACCCTTTCAAATTCAAATTAACCGTAATCTATTGTAGTAATTTGACAGCCGTATAATTTCTCGAATTAACGATGCGTGAAAACACAAGGTATTCTGCACATGAGAATTTAGGATAAATTCTATTTGTATGAACAAATACAAAACTCAAAGAAAATTTAAATGTTTAAATTGAATTGAATTTTTAATTACAAGGCGCATGAAAACGTGTTATTTAAGAACAATATAGGATATATTGTTGTTAAATAATTTTATATATTGACACTTTTTTGGGGGACTCCCTATACATACCTTTTGATTCTCAAAATTTCTGAATAGCGATGCAAATGTACTTTTCATCCTTTTATTTCTGTTTTAGGGAACAAATCAATCTCATAAACAGTGACAAAATTACTATAATTTAATAGTGTATCTCACAATTGTATTACAAGTCTCCAATCCTAAGAATTACAAATACTCTTGGTCCAATATGATCAGGTGCATAATAAAAAAAAGTGTTTGTGGTAATATTTGGGACGCTAATAGCCTACGTCATCACAAATTGGATAAATTTAATTGATCTTCTCTAAACCTGAAGCATTCCTGTTTTCATTTGTTTTAACAAAATTCGTACTGGATCAACTGATCAGTCTACAGTCAACTCTCGCCTTGCGGACACCCCACTATTACGGACACCCCACGCGCTGTTAATTGGACAGTTGGTAAATCACCAGCCGAAATTACTATGAAATGTATTGAAGTACCTCTTGCTATTACGGAGTCTCGCTATAAACATTTTACTGTTCAACTCCCGTTACAATGGTCACCTTGGACGTACTGTGTCGACGAAAATGATAAACAGAAATATATATATATATATATATATATATATATATATATATATATATATATATATATATATATATATATAGTTTTTCGTTTTACCTCAAGAAACCATAACAGTCTGTTTCATCCGTATAGGAATCATGATGGGACCACTTGATGATTCCTATACTGATGAAACAGACTGTTGTGGTTTTTTGAGGTAAAACGAAAAACTATATTACGCTCTATCTATATGGTATTGAGCACTGTTTGTGTTTCGTAAACCAAAATCGTAAGCTATATATATATATATATATTTATATATATATACATATATATATATATATATATATATATATATATATATATATATATATATATATATATATATATATATATATATATGACAGAAAAATTCAAAACGACCAAGGTGTATTTCTCGATCCTCAGAGTTTTCGGCAAGTCCACACATGTGTTGAGTTAAAAATTGAATTCAGTAATTATGTTCACATTATTCAAGGGTTTGTCACTTGTACAGGTAGTTGGTACAGATATATATGGTCTAAAACCTGCCTCATACCCACTGGCACTATATTCACTGTGGGGTATATTCACTGTACGCTATGTTCACTGTAGGTTATATAATAGGGATACAGTACTACATGAAGTATTGCAATTGTTGGGTAACATGCACAGGTTCCCCCTCAACCCATCATATACATGTAGTCATTCTGCATTTTGACACATAATGAGTCTAAATATTGTGGAGTGCAGATATCTGGGTGTTAGGCTAGGTTTTAAAAGCTACAACATTCTGGGTCATTCCAGGGGATAGTTTAACACATCCGTAACCTTTACCCTGTCTAATGCTAATGTGGGCAATAAAATGTTTCGCAAGTCGAGATTATCTTTGTGGCAATTAAGATTGAAGTTAATCACAATGTGTGATGCACCATGCAGTGTACATTCTCTAAAATATGTATAATATGCAGAGAGTTTTGTATTTGACTTACACAGGAAACTTTTAGTTTTGATTTTGCTGCCAGGAAGAGAAATATATTTTCTAGGCCTGTCTAGACCTGCCTATGGCCATGCATTTAAAGCTTGAAAATATTGTGGTATTCAATTCCCCTTATCGCTCTACCAAATACCTTAATACAACTTTCACCAATGATCTTGATAACATACAGTACAGCACATTATGTGGTTTCAAAACATTTTTTAATCATTCAAACATTTTTACAAAACCCCTGTCAACGTTTTGCACCAGGGTTCAACATTTTTTCTCCAGTTTCTCCTAGGATATAACCAGTAGTATTGGTTTGGTTGTTCATATTATGTTTTTGTTGTCAAAGCTCAAGCCGAGGAAGAAATTGTTTCATGACATAAATAATTAAATAGTGCACATGTAGAGTATGTAGCATAGTAGCCCATCATGATTTCAGTTGTCAACAGCCAATTTTGAATTTTGTTTTGTACCATCTGTGCTTGAATCCCATGCAAGGCATGCATCACTAATATACAGTAGAGCCCATTGTGTACTGTACAGTATATGCATGTTTGCTTGTCAGGTTTTGAAAACTAGTAATTACGGTATATGTCTCAGTTTCAAGTTTGAACTGGGGATGCAGGCTTGCAAATTTGTGTTAGTCATCGAACCGCAAAATTTTACCTTTTGTCAGACCAAAGCTTTTTACTGTGCGACTGCATCGACATGTGACTGACCAATTTAGGTTGATCAAATGGCCCATTTCAAAAAATTGATTTTTATTAACACATTCTTATTAATGAAACCTAAGCATGAACAACACTTCCCACTATTTCTTGCTGCATTAAGCCATACGATATCACTACAAATACAGTATAAATCTAAATTGCCTCTATATAACATGGTAGATATTAAAGTTATGTACTGTATAACCTGAACCATAATTTGCAGAAGATGCATTAGGACTGGCAAATATACACTCAGTTTTAGATGCATTGCTGCAGTGCAAACTAACATGACCAGCCTAAAAATATTGTGCGAAATGCGAATTAAAAAAATATGAAAAATTTTAATTTGGCTTGTACAGTACGTAGGTACTGTACACGAAAAACTGATAAATGTCTGACCAATTTTTGTTGTCCTTCCAAGCAAAATAATTAATTGCAGAACTGCAGATGTTGATAGGCTAAACTCAAAGCAAAGATTACAGTGAGAATTATTTTATATTTATGGTTTTAGGCAGTGGTGGTTTTGCTTACTTAAAATAATGGCTTTGGTGGACTGGGTTAATGTTAAGTAAGTGAATTATCAGCTATATATTAGCCCGAAAATATTAAACAATATATCAACCACATGATTAGATCTACAGTACATTTAATATGTACTCTGTACTCTGTAGTGAATATAATTTCAAATATGATAAACACTACCACCACACACACACACAGAAATTTCTACTCAGATCATGCATACAAACACTCACTAGAGTTTATCGTACAAGAGGGATCTCAGCAAGCCGCAAGAGCCTTGTGCCATCCAGCCAGAATCATAATGATTATACATGCAAACAGACTTTTAAGGTTACAGAACACCTTTGAGTGTTGATTTTGCCTAAATTTTTTTATTGGTTTCAATGAAAACATTAGACTAGTTCTACTATCTGACCAAGTTTGAACGAAAAATGTTGAAAACTCGCAGAGTTATTTAATAAAATACATTTCGCTGCAATAAGAAAAACATTGAAAATGTAATATTCAAATTCAATTTTCTCCCGAAAAAGTTTACGGTAATTACTGATTTTCAAACGAGTTGTGCTCCTGCGGGTTTTAACCAATTTTTCTCAAATTTTCACAGGAAATACGTCAGCTTCAAAATTGTGTTCGGCTTTTTTTAAATTTTGGATATTTTAAAAATAAAGAGCAATTCACTCAAACAATTCAGAAATATATTGCAGTCATCAAAGAAATCGCCATATCAGCGGAATGACGAAATAAACAAAAATTTCCGAACACAGTTTTTTAGAACAACTATTTTACTGTATAAAAATGATATTTTCATAAATATAACTTAAAACCAGCAGGAGCACAACTCAAAAGTGTAACGGTACCGCGATTTAATATTTTCCTGAATAATTCTTAAATTATTTTATTGCTTGTTAATTTTACAACTTTACCATATTTTGCATGCACTGGAGAACTTTTGGTGAAAATTTGATGAAAATCGGACTGATATTGAGCGCGTAGTAGCGATTTTCCGCAAAACGTGACCTGTAACCTTAATATGGTCCATTTGTACAGTATCAACTTCCAGTTGTCACCCTCAGTTACACTACTTAGTTTATACTGTATTTTACTACTTACAGTATGAGAGTGTACATTAATTTCATTTTGCCTATTAAGCACAGTAGCAGTGTATCTACAGTGTTACAGATACTGCATACAGCAAGTAACGGTTGGATTAATAAATTTGTTATGTTTACAGTGGTGTTTGGTGAGATAGCCAACTTTACAGCTTATGCATTTGCTCCCGCAGTATTAGTAACACCGCTGGGTGCTCTGAGTGTTCTAGTCAGGTAAGAATACAACTTATAACAAAATGTAAATGTACAGTTATCTAAATCTATAATCGTATTATAGAGCTTCGAGTAGCGGTCAAAATTGTCCGGAAAAATGTCCACTACCGAAATGAAAATTAGTCGCACATTTTGGAATTTGGTCAGACATCAAGCACTAGCAGTAAATAATACTTCAAGCTACATTTACATACTGTGAATTATTGGGACTGGGATAATTTCAGAAAGTATTATCAACTGACAATATTTGTCATTCAGGAAAAACAGAAATTGGCCCAACATATTGCAATGTGTAAACGTACCTTTTATAGTATACATCTTGTTTCCTGAGCCCGCATTTTTGCGCCAATTTGCTTATCTTTCAATTTTGTTTTCAGTGCTATATTAGCTTCATATTTTCTTCGCGAAGACTTAAATATCCATGGAAAAATTGGTTGTTTTCTATCTCTTGTTGGGTCAGTGGTCCTCGTAATTCATGCGCCCCAAGAGGAGTCAATTGCCACAGTTGAGGAACTGAGTGCTAAATTAACAGATGCAGGTAGGTTATTATACACTGCTCGATAATAATATGTATGGGTGGTTTTACAGTACAGTACAGCACAGTACAGTATGTCTTCCTTGTTGGAGGGAAGCGCTATTGAAGAACGGAAACTCCTATTTCTATTCACTCTGTTGAACGTACAGTACATGTAAGTACTATTTTTTTTTTTT